GGCGGGCGCTGGAAATACGGCTTGGAGCTGAAGATAGGCGCGACGTCCTCGTGGAGGTCATAGAGGAAGACGTCGGCCCGCCCTTGGCTTTAAGACCTCTCTCCACGCATCACCACCTGTACATCACCCTACCAACGCTACCAGCGTACAGAAAGAAGCTCAGAGGACTAGTCCTGCTGAACCGAGGTATCTTCCTATTTATTTGTGTGGGATGTACTGTACAGGGTGTGGTCGGGATGGCCATCGGGCACCTGGCCTTCACGCCGGAGGAGCTGCAGAAAAACATCAGCCACTTCATTAACAGCGTGAAGATATACAATCTGCTCCGCCTTCCACTCCATTCTTCTTGCCTTCTGCAGAACCTCTAACCTGTAAATATTTAGCCTGAAGTATTCGCCTAGCTTTACTGCTCCATGCCATCGACCATTCATAGCTTGAGCTCCGCAATCTCGACTTCCTGCTGGCGAACCATGGCCTCCAAGGCCTTGATCATCTGAAGCGCCTTCTTCTGCTCTCAATTTCCAGGCGGCTGCCCTCTACGCTCGCTTCTCTCGTCACCAGGAGCCGTGTTAGCTTCTGCACACATGCCCCCAACACCGCCGTCCTCCGCCCGCTATCGCCCTGGCATGCACTCGTCCCAGACCTCACTCAAACACCCCGCCATTATGTCGACCACCGAGGAGGTTGCCCTCTCCGACACCAGCCGCTCCTTTCGGCGCGCCAGCAACGAGTACGCCTTCCGCATCCCTACCCCGCCGTGCATTATTATCCTACCGCCCGCTGTGAATAGCTAGGAATCCGCTAATGCCATCCGCGCATCTTCTCTGTCTCTGTCCCGATAATCGACACTCGCGGCCCGGATTTGAGCTTTCTGGCCTCCGTCAATGGCGGCGAGCTTACTGCCCAGCAGAACGCTGGTCTGGATTGGACCTACGAGAAACGCCGTGATATGCAACAAATTTGGAACTTCCGTGTCTGTATCTGGGCCCGCCGCCTGTTGTCCTCGCCTCTCCGTTGTAAGCTAACACCCTCCGTTTGCAGGCCCTTATAACACCGGGCGGTGTGCGCGGCGAGAAGGGGGTCGGCCTATTCGACTGCCGTTTTCAGGCACAGTGGTGGGTGAAGTTGGAGGGCAACGACGCAAGGCGAGCTGCAACACGAGTTTGGGTGGCGGTGGTGGCGTTTCTGCCGAGAGGAGTCTTGTACCTAACCAAGTGCGTCGTCGGCGATTGCGGTGTTCGTGGTGTTGCTGCTGTTGCTGGCGGCGGAAGAAGTCCCACACTAAAGCCAGCACAGAGCCAACGATATACTGCTCTACGTCAAGGCGGGCTACGGCATCGATTTCAAGGTCATCGTCATCCTTGATCGGGTGGTGAGGATGGCATTAACACAGGGGGTAATTACTAAAATCTACTACATTTAAACCGCTGCAGAACGTTAACGCAAGAAGAAATATAAGTTCTTTTTTTATATATATAATATCTTTTAAGCTTAGATTTACTAACTCTAATAAAAAATAATTTTTATATTATTAGAATATCTATTTATTTAGTAAAAATCTCTTTAAAAATCGACTTGTTTTTAAACGTAATAAAACGTTAATAAAGACGAAAATTTAATTATTTTTTATACTTTTATAATAGAAGAGAGGCTAAAAATATATATTACTATAAAAATAATTATTTTCTAGATAAGAACGTTGACGTTTTGGTAATAAAATTTAACGAGGTGCTGTTTAGTCCGCAAATCGCGAAAGAGGTGCTGTTTAGTAATTACCCCTTAACCACAGGCGTTAACGCCGTCGCTGAGATGTACGCGCTTGAAAGCAAGTGGTAAGGGTTAGTAGCTACGACACACACCCCATGTCACAGAAGCACAATGGAATTCTTCGCGGCGCCGACTGTGCACCTTGCAAGAAGACAGAGAAGTTTCAAAAAGGAAAGGAGGGCATAAATCATTTTGTTTGTCAGGGCCACCCAAAGTTCCAATCTAAACAGAACTTTTATCTCCCAAATCAGCAGATGCTTCTACTCCAAAAGTTTCACCCGAAAGAGGGGTATGAACAAGCCAGTCGGGCGAGACAATCCTCACAAAGCACCGGCGGCGGGGGCGGGTGACACAGCCCTCCTCCTCCAAAGCGTCCGCTGCGTAGAACGAACGCAGCCACGTACAAGTCAGCCTTGCGAATTTCGAAGTCGTCGCACAAATCACCACTCGCCGTCTTCGCTTCCCGCAGCATTACATCCTCCAGGCGGACAAAGTGGCGCCCGATATACTGGTACGCCTCTTCATCAGACACCTCGATGTCTAGCCAGATGTAGAGCTCTTTGATCTGCTCCGGGGTAGCGGTGCGGGATCGGGCTGCATGAGGAGTCCGTGACGGGGCGCTACGGTTGCTTAGGTCGTATAGGCAGCAGTCGCGCTTGACGCTGTGGAAGTCGGCGTTATCCTGCTGGTTTTAGACGAAGTGGGCCATTTGTCGCAACTGTTTTTTGTAGCGAGTAGGAGTGCGCGGGTCGATCCTTGGGCAATACAGCAAAAATTCAGCTATTTTGAAGTACGATTCGGCAGGTCCAGCGTGGCAATCGGGCTGCGGGTTGGGAACATCTGTAGCGGCGGCCGACTGTAGTGTGGGTGGCAGGGTGGGATCGGGTGAAGGGCTGTTGTTGTCTATTGCCACTTTGACCTTGTCGGCGAGAACACCAGGGCCCTCGGCCGGGGGAACCTTGTCGTAAAGCGGCACGAATGAGTCTGCATCTGCCTGAGTTGGAGACAAAGCATGGGCCGCACTAATTCGTGCGCCAAGTCGCTCGTGCCAGGCAGCAACGCTGTCCGTCAAACTTGGCTTCATATTGGAAGAGGAAGTCGCCTTGCGGAAATGCTTGTGAGCTCGTCGTCGTCGGATTCCTCCTCGGCCCTCTTCTTGCGTTTGGTGGAGGTGGCAGCTTCGACCGTATCATCTTCGCAAGAGCTGGTAGGCCGATATCGGTCTGGGGATGATTTCCAGTATAGCTCGTCTTCGGACTGTGACCTTTTGTTGGACACGGCGTTGGGAGACCGAGCAATATCATGGTACGGCGGAGGGTCAGGACGATTGCTTTCTTCGTAAGGGTAGTCATCCCAGTTGTTGATGCAGCCATAAACGCCATCGTTGTAGATAGACCCAAGGTCAACCTGTGGTTCACTGACATGGCCTTCATAAAGTAATCGGCAGGTAGCGTCGATCTGATTTTGCATGGTGCCGTTACCCACGAGGAAAGCAACTAATCATCTGCCTGACATGATGATTTCAGGCAGATGATTGGTTGTCTCGCAATGTCTGTAAGACGCTTGCCAATCTGTCCAGGTTGCCTTTGAACCTTGGGCATGACTGCGTACGGCTCTTCCGAACTGGAGAGCTCTAGGTGAATGCGATTGGAGGAGATGCTTGCGGATGTTTTCCGGCACGGTGCTCTCGACATGCCTTTACATGTGCCTCGGATACTTGGCCTTGCCTATCTTTACAAACTATTATAGTGCGATCTGCATCTTCGCTTTAGAAGATGTCCAGGCTCAGGTTGCCGTTGCACTTGGCGTATTCACTCGCATGATTCCCCCCGTAATCAGCATCCTCATGCTCCTCCTCAAGTACTGCTCCATATAGCCGCTCTTGCGCAACACCGGCGAGCCCGCACCAACCATCTGTGCCATGACTCATATTCCGAGAAGCCAAAGACGGGAAAGAAAGATGAATACAGCAGTCAGTAAATTCATCAAGCAAGTATTAACAGCAACGCTTAAAGCAGAGTCCCCAGCTTGCTGCGCGAATCGAAGCACTTCGGCAAGAGCCAGCACCAGCACTTTGGCAAGGGCAACAACGGCGCGAGTCCTCCCCATAGGGTAAGAAGCGCGCCAACTGTCGGCACAGTGACCGAGTCGGTTGGGCTCAGCCTGCAGCAGAGGAAGGGGACGACTCACTGCGGAACAGAAACAGACCCCAGAGTCTTCTGCCAAAGAGGAACCCGTAGTGCCAGCGTTGCAGCTCTTTGGCAGGTAGACAGCTGGGAAATTTTTTTATGGTCCGTTCTGAACAGCAGAGAGACTTCAGTCGTCGGGCAGTGTGGTCGGGCGATGGGACGATGCGGTTGCTCAGACGGAAATACGCGTGCGGGCAAGAAACGAGCTGAGATGAGATGTAGCAGTAGCGATGGATGGCAATGCTGATGGAAGGGCGATGGTGGAGCGACGCGCGGTAGCGATGGGGTTTGTTGTGGAGAAGTGGAGTTGGAACGCGCCATGCGCAACACACTAAGCCCGTCCCGGACGCGCACGGCCCACCTACCCACATCCCTTGCACCAGCCAAACTTCCGAGTAATTTTTTTTGCCTTGCTCGGCCTCCGATACGGCGCAGTAATGATAAATAAGCATGCCAAGGCGTCTCCGAGCTGCGCTTGTCCCGATGCGCCGTACACACCTCCGCACCTTTTTTTCCGCTGCGCTGTGGCTCGTGCCAAAAGTCTCGTTCGCCTTGGCGCGGTGGTTGCCGGCGATGGGCGGCCAGGACTTTTTGTCCGAAAATTCCGCACCGACAGTTTTGCTATATCCTCATCAACAGCCCAGCCATCTTTCAGTCTCCATCACATGTCTTCGTTTTCTACAGAAGCCCAAGGGATTTTGAATGAAATTCACGTTGGCGTGATAGTTCCCGACCACGGCGAGGCGGAAACTCGGCTACAACTGCAGTACTGTGCAGAGCGTTGAGCCACTGCGCCACGGGCAGCTCCAATTCCTAGTATAAATATTGGGTTCGGCATCGACTTGAGAAAACGGAAATGAGAAGGCTGAACGGTAGTAGCAGTGATGGGAGTAGAACTCTTATAGAAGCAAATCCTAATTTGTAGAACATACCTTCCAAGGTGGGAGTGGCTGCGAGAATGGAACTGATAGTAGATGGGGGTATCACACGAACGCTATACTGAAAGAGAGAGGTGGAGACAAAATGGATGGATACAGTAACGGCTCACCCAGACAGAGGCGCGTCGGGAAGTGAAGTCCTCGTGGCCTGCTGAATGCAGTGCTTGACGTCGTCCTCGCAGTCGGGGCCGTGCACCGTCAGTCCCCAGCGGTGAATCTCGTTGATCCAGTCGACGAACTTGCGCACTTCGTGACGCTGGTCACACTCGGACTCAAACAAAAGAAACATGCGGCAGCCCTTCCACGCCTCGTCCTCGCCGAGGACGGCTTCTGTGCACCAGAACTGGTAGGACCGTCCGGCCATGACGAGGCTGTAGTGGCGCAGAACAGCAGTGTGTCTCGCGCCCCAGGGAGCCGTCGAAGCGGTACGCCGCATGCGTTCCAGCTTCAGATTATAGCGGTTGTACAGTGCAATAGCCGATGCGACGGCGACCTGTGAGATGGCCTGGCGCATGGTCCGGTCGTTCTTCTCAAACTCGATGGATAGGTACGGGCAGAGAAGGCGTTTCTGACGGACTGAGACGACGCGTTTGACATGGGAGCGGTAGTGCGGATTGAAGGCCTGCAACGAGATCCAGTAGGAGCAGTCGGGCGGGATGTTGAAGCCGTAAGGGCGCACGACGCCGCCGTCGTTCGAGGCGTCGAGCGGCAGCAGCGGCGGCGGTTCCCAGAGAGGCTCTGGTTTGGTGGGGAACTCGATTTTGCGCTCAGGCTTCAAGGGCCGGTCGTCGTCAAGGTACTGGCTGCGCGGCTCGCGCTTGAGCAAGGCCTCGATGGCGTAGGCGGCGTGCTCGGCCTCGTTCTCCTCCAGGTCACGCATCGTCTGGTAGTCGTGCAGCACAGTTTGTATAAAGTCGGCGCCGCCTTCCAGCTAGACGGTTGTATTCTCTAGCCCGGGCAGGCTGCGGTAAAAGTGAGATAGGCCATCGGTCGGCGGCTCAAATGTGTCGAAGTGAGACCACGGCTCGAAGATGTCGCCCGCGTGCTGGTCGATGGCGATGCCCCGCGGCGTAAGCACCTCGGCGTCGAATCGCGCGTCGGCGGTGCGGGAGGCTCGAGAGATGGAAGAGCCTACGTCAGAAGGTTCGCCGCTGCTGCCGAGACCGCTGTCCGAAGGCCTGATGGGCAGATGCGACGGCGGTCGGGTGCGTGCGCTGCTGCCGATACCGCTATCGATGGCACCTCTGCCGGTAGCCCTGCCCCTGTCGGCGCTCCTGGCGGCGCGAGTGAGCCTCGGCACACGAGTGACGGGCGCTTTGCGCTCGCCGGCCATGACGCGACGCCACAGGCGGCTGATGTCGGTCGGGTCAGTGGGTGGTGGGAGTTCCGGTCGCTTGAGTGGCCGGGGGATGCGGCTCTTTGGCGGGGGGCAGCTGGAGTACATCATGGATGATAGTGTTGATGTTTGGTGGGGAAGCGACGAGACAGCGGGCTTGATTTCCTTGTTGTCGCGGAGTTGACGCAGCAAAGTTCCACTTTCCCGCTCCATCTTTCCGGCCCGTCCCGCCGTCTTTCCGCCCCACCTGGTCCCACCTTCTCCCTCTACCCAGATTGTTGATGAGAGCACTGTGAAACCAAGAAGCCAATGCGCCGTCCTTGTTTCATTACGACGTCTATCTGATCCACTTATAAGATGACCCCCAAGATTTGGCTGAGTGTCTGGTCGATGGCCAGCTCCCACCGCAGGCCTGCATTTCTACATGTGAATTTATTTTTGCTCATGCCATGGGTAGTTAAAGTTATTATCCGGATGTAAATGTAGCATTGGCAATTACACATTTCCAGACCATAGCTTATATTATTTTCGCAAGAAAACAAACGAGCCCCAGTATAATTACGCCACATTCCAGAGCTCTGCTATTCTTCGCGCTAGCCGCTAGCCATCGCGTTTCTACGGCGGGCGCAGCGGCATTCTGCGTTGAACTTCCGAGGGCCGCCGCGTTTTAAGACGCCGCATCAAGCGGTGGAGAGCGGATTCTCAACTGAAAGACCACGCACAAGGAAAATAACGATGCAGCTGTGCGGACATGTGCGAGACAAAAGGCCGGCTAATCGTGGTGGATAGGAAAGGCAAGGATGTATTGGACTTTGATTACTGGCTCAACGCTGAAGCAAGGGAAAAGATGGGAATGATAGCTGGAAATTTGCTCTAAGCCAAGTTTCGTGAGTAGACTAGCTCAAATATAGGGGCAAAATAAGGAGTGCTGCTATTGTCATCAGCGAGTCAAGCACCCTTCGTAGCGGTAAAGTCTGACTGTCTTTATAGTGGATGAGGTGGGGGCGAGAACGAGGAGAAGGAGGATGACTCCGTCGAGCACGACGATAATGGTAATAGTAGTAATGATGATTAGGGGCCGTAGCTCCCCCGATGGCCGTGGTCATGGGGAACCGCAGCTGGGACCGGATTAAGCTGAAGTGGCATCCATAGCGCTTCGGGCGCTACGGCAGCCACCGTGCAAGTGGTGGTGGTAGTAGTGATGGGTAGTAGTCCAAAGCGATCTGCTACCTCCCCTCGTTGAGCAAGTCAGGGCGGCGGCGGCCATGATGTACCGGTAGACATATTTTTCTTCCTTGCTTTTCATCCTTTAGGATTAAATCATAGCTGATAGTACTCAAGGGCTTATTAGTCCAGCCGATCCGGGGAAGCCTCTATGTTTACGTAAAGGTCGAAACCTCTCGTCCACATCTATCTAACCATGTTTTAGCTCAGTCACACCTAAATCTGCAGGCATGAAGGAGAGCGGGCGGGTATAAGATCGCGGGCCGAGGACACGACTGGGCTACTTGGACTCGAGCCCCAATACAGCAATTAGGGGAAAGTGAAGAAAGCGAAACAGCCATCGCTTTTCCATCTTTGCCACGCTGCATAAAACCCAGCCTTAAGACAGCCAGGCGCCCGGTTCGCCATTTCATTTTGTCAGCTTTGTCAGTTAAGTCAGAATAGAACGTCTGGCTGATGCCCCCAGCAAACTCTCAGGCCGTCAGGCCTTGTTTGTATCCTTCACCAATGTCTTGTCGCCATGCCTTAAGGGTTACTAGGCTTGTCGAAGTGAATCTTCCACGCGGAAGGTGGCAAGCACCACTGAGGAATCTGCAGCCAGGTAGTGGTCGAATTATTAAGGCTTGACTACCATTGACGACAGAGGTTTTGTACTGGTACGTCGCCGAAAAGCACCACTTTAAGCCACCGACTGGAACTGCTGATGAGTGCGCAGTCTCAAATGGCAAGCATCAGCTTAATCAGTATAAGGTCTATTGTTGAGATACTAAGAGAGAATCGGAAAAGCTATTTGTTTAAGACTTTATTATCGGGGATATATACCTTTATAAGAAAGAAGAATTTCTATAGCGGGTTATATCTTCTCAAGTGTAAAGCATTACAACTATTTAAACGATTAAGTATTCTATTCGTAGTAGAAACACGGGTATAAATTAAACAATTAATTATCTATCTATAGTTAAACGAGATGACGAAATAAACTTTTAAAGGCTTATTTAATATTAAAAATTATACTTCTCTTATCTTCTTTCAAGATGCTATTTTCTTCTCGGACTCTTTTACCGCATTGTAGTCTGCACACAGTGTAAGTTTTTCTCCAACGCGATCAAGGCAGGCCGCTTTATAGTGTAGTCCCTCTTGTTCTTTTAAGAGAGCCGCGGCTCACTCTACTTACGTCTAGTGGAGGCCCATGACAACAGCAACAACAAGGCCCTTACCGCCGAGCTTGGCAACGCCCAACCCAGTCTCCTATCACACAACTTGACACCCTCTCAGCCAAACTCGGCATCGCCTCGGCCGCCGTTAACGCAGCCCGCGCTGTTATTCTCCGCTGGCTCCGGCTCCTGCTTGTCCACGCGCTCCACCAAACGCTACCCTGGCACCATGGCCGAGCGCGTGTTAATAAACGAGTATAAGGACCTCGTCCCGGAGTCGTGGACTAACCATAAAGGTGCGTGGCGACTCTGTACCGTCTGCCGACCATCCTACCATGCTACCTCTTTACCGTCTGCCTACCATCTTACCAAGCATCCAGACATCTACTCCTTCACATGACTCAGCTCACAGCTTCTCGTACGTGCAATAACTACTCACTTTCTGCACTACTTAGTAACGATTCCCCAGGCTCCAGCATAGGAACACATCACCTACTACATGGGCGGCTAGCACATGGCGTAGTACGACTAGTTGGACGACTATCAAAGCGTTTAAGGTGTCGAAATCCTCGAGTTTTTCGCGAACTGCGAGAACGTTTCCAAGCTCAAAGCCGTAATTGACGTTGGCAATACGCCGAGAATTACGGAGGAGTAGTTGAATGAATGGGAAGAGGAGGTGAGGCGCGACTGAAAAGAGCGCCCCCGGCACCTCTGCACTGAAGAGAGGAGTTTTTCATATATTTCGACAGCTCGTCTTTGGTCGGACATATAACATGGTGAATATGGCACAAAGAAAGGGGGCAGTTATACATAGTATGCAACGTGAACCAGATGTTCTTGTATTCCACTCAGTGGATGAGATGCAGCGATATAGTGCAGACGGCAGGAACAACAGTAGGTCGCCATGGCACCTTATAGTAAGATGTTGTCCAGCGCTCTCACTCCGTCTTCAGACTCGCTGACATATTTGCAGCCTTTGCCATTCTCACGCTCAAGCCACATATGCACATCGGTGTCACGCAGGATTGGGACTTCGCAATCAACCAGCCAGATGGTGAAGTGTTAATCGGGCAAGATTGCGCCTCGACAAGACGATATCGAGATCCACGAGCGAAACAACCCCAGCGAGACCCTCAACGCTGCGACCTTCAGGAAGAAAATGCCAGGCGCAACCATCAACGGCATGCGCTTCTCTGAATTCAATTTTCTGCTCATCCCTTCGCCGTAGTCGTCCTGGGCGCATTTCTCCTAGCCGTACTCGTTGTCTTCCCGGACACCTTCTCTAGGTAGCCACGAGATCCCTCTCGGACTGCTGGGGTAATCTGCTTTTGAAGATGACATGGTTACAGAGTATTTGGGGATAGATAAAAGTAGCTAGCTAGTACAAGTCGGCCAAAGTGTCGACCCCTTTGATCGTCTGCGGCATTTGTGCACCCACGTTGATTAAGCGTTAGCTTATACACAACTAGCATGGTGGTAACATACTGAAGTCACGATGGACTAGCGTCTCCTTGCCCATGTCAATGCGCCATGTTCAACGGAAGCCTCCAGCCGTGCGAGAAGCTGGTGTAGCCGGCAGCCATTGATGAGGGGGTGTTGATCATCATCGCGGAGTTGCCGGCGCAGGATCCCGGCGTGCATGGCGGAAGGACTGTCGAAGGGCCCGCAAGAGCAGGAGTAGAGCGAGCCGTAGACAGTGACGGATGGCGGGAGGCAGGGAGACAGGAGGCGGACGTCGGGCGAGCTGCACAGACATGACCGCCAGCAGCTGGTTCAGGCCAGGTATGAATTCCTCCAGGATCCAGCCCTGGCCCTCTCCCTCATCTTCGGTACCCCTTCGTCTTCTGGACTCCATGCATCAGCTCGTCCTTCCCCTCCACCGGCGCCAGCACTCCTCCAGCAAACTTCCCCGCGCTGCAAGACAACGCACCTCCTCGGCATTAACGTCCTTGAGCTTGCCTTTGAGAATGAAGTCATTGCCGAGGAGGCGCGTCGTCTTCTGACCAAGCAGCAGCACGATGGTGCAGGTGTCGCCATACTGTATTGCATCAGTGCCGAACGCGGAGGTTGAGGCCAACTTTCTTGCGGCACTGTTGCCGAGGAATGGCGACCAGTGGAAGACCAACGGCGGCTAAGCTTTGCTGCGGAAAAGCCGCTAGTGGAGGAAACTGGCAACAACTGCGGCAACGAGGATGGCGTGGGAGGCGCATGGCAGGACCCGTGTTCAGGGCGGATTTTCGTTTGTTGAACGACGTCTGGCAGAAGTCTCATAATGCATGAACCTGAGCTCCAGCCCAGCGCGAGGCACATTAATGGTTAGACTTTCCGGAGCATACTCGTAGTTTCCGATGCGCCATAAGACATCCGCATCCAATTCGCACTCGAGGAAGCCGAAGGCGCAATATTCCCGGCGAAGGCTGGATCGTTAAAGGGCCTGCGTGTCCGCAACATACGGCGACAGCAGTGGAAGTGCAGGAAAAAGTGAGAGGAGCAGGCTTCTGACAGGCGGGTTCGCCTTGTTTATGCTCGTCTGTAATCGGAATGACAGGGACCGGCGAATGCGGACCTACCAGTGACGGGCATTACGAAGTCTCAAGACCCGAATCGGGATTTCAGTATATACACCACATGGCCAGCGAAGCTAGAGCACGATCGCGGTTGTCGCCACATGATAGCAACCCGGTCTTGAACACTAGTTGCGGAGTCGTAAGATTGAGGTGCACGCAGCAGGCTCAACCCATGCAGGAGGAGGCCTCAAAATATCGCTCTCGAGTTTTAAATATAGGTTCCACGAGGTCCTGTACTTGTTCTCGACGGCCACTACCAGCAAAAGCTTGTTTGTTTTAAGCGTCTCCAGCTCCAAGTTGGCCTACGGTTGCGAAGCGTTAGCACGGTGCGTGATGGTCTCGCCGGCTCACCTCTACCAGTCTTGCCAAGCGCTTCAGCACTGTACGACTGGCCGAGGGGTTGCTGCCAATTTTCCTGGCGGTAAACTCTTCTGTTCCCCGTAAGTGTTTTGTCATGGTCAGCGTCGCCGCAATCCACCCATGTTCAATAAGAAACCCCTAAATATACCTCCTCCTACCTAAATATACCTCTTTTTTTAAAGAAAAATTTTTTTAAACGCGATAATACCTTAATAAATTTAAGATTCTAAGTAATTTCTAATATTTATCATAGTAGATAGATATATAAATTATAAATTTATTAAAAAAAAATTTTATTATAAAAATTATAAGATTTATATTAAATTCTTTTTAAAAATTAACTTTTCTTTAAAGATAATAATATCTATATAAAATTAAGAATTTAAGTATTTTTTAATATTTATAATAGTAGATAGATAAAAAATATAAATATATTAAAAAAAACTAATTTTCTTAAAGAGTATTAATAATTCTTATACATAAATTTTAAAAGAGATATATTTTTAGTTTGTCGGCGAAGAAGAGGTGGATTTAGTAATATCCCCCCCTTTTCTTTTTCCCACGCCTAAGCCCGTATTGGTGTGCGGAGGGTTTGCAGCGCCAGACGTGCAATCTTAAACGGTGCGTTGCAGAAATAGCAGATCTCATTGCCTCTGGCGGCGGCAACCTTGCCGGTAATGGTACGGTTACGCTTCGCCGTGTGCGGTAAATCTGCATCGCCGCAACGCTCGTTTCGTCAGCGCGAAGCGGGGTTGCTCGAGCCAGAACCTCCGATGTCCGCAATCCCGTAATGGCAGTGTAAGTGTCGTGGTGCGATATGAGTTTGCAGGAAGGGTGATGGAGATGATGATGATGGATTCAGAGGTTTGCGCCCGCTATGGACCAGTCTAGTCTAGTCTATCTGATTACGTTCGAAACGGGGGTTACCGGCTCATACTCGGTTCCACTACGCATTTCCTATCCTTCCGCAGCTTCCAAATCTTCAACTTGCTTCATCACCCACTCGCTCCACCATCTACGTACACTTCAGCACACGCAGCAGACACGCTCCGGCAAATAAATGACGCGGCGAACGAACGAGCAAATTTGAAATGACACAGCGAGATAAGTTTAGCGAGCGAAGCAGTAGAGGCGTTTTGTCGCATCTTAGCCTCAGCTTCGGACTCGCTTCGCTGAGGAGGGTCCACAAGGATGACATCAGCTTGATAGTGCTAATACATGGGACCAGATAAGCTTGTATTTGACGATCATCACTTCTGTCGTATTGTGTCGCATTCTCTCGACAGACGTCCCCACGGGCGAGCTCTTAAAGAGGGAGATTGCTGACATGTACGAGGATCCCATACCTCACCAATACGCAAAGTCCAGAAGTTGTCAACACGTGCTGTTTCAGCGAGCGTGAAACCGAGCCACCAGATGATTCTGCGCACAAGGCTCAAAAATTTATTTCCATTCACGCAGCTTCCTGGAGAGATTCGGAACATGATCTACAGCCTGGTCTTGATCTTCACGGGAATCCCCACCACCCTCATAATCGGACATTTTGTGTGAAAAACCTCGTTCCACAGACACCCGGGATACTACTTGTGAACAAACAAGTCTCGGAAGAAGCTCGCGGAGTCACTGTACAAAACACCGCTGTATCTATATGCCACCCGCCCCTGGTATTGTAAGAGTATGTGGGATGTGATGAGCCCGCAGCTGATGTGCAGCCTTCGATTCATCGACCTCAGCATTAAAAGCCACTCTTATCGGGTCAGTACGTTACTTGAATTGGCTGCAACTATTATCCGATGGTGGACGCAAGAGATCAACGACTTGCTACGGACGAGGACAAAGCTCGGGCACAATTACCCACTAGCCCAACGATCTCTCAAGGCCGAGCTTAGGCTGAGCAGAGCTAGCGACGCAGACATCCAGTCGGGCTTTTACGTAGGCTTGCTAGGCATACTCGCGCATGGGTCGGGTTCGAAGATGAAGCCCGAAACTTCGTCAAAGTTGTACGTATGATGCACAAGCTAACTTCCATCGTCGGCAATGAGCCGATTGATGTTGAGGTCGGAGGAACGCTGATGAAATACTGGGAGCTCTACAAGGGTGTCTGAGAGCCGGCAACGTGAGCTGGACGAGCTCGATTCGAGACCATGAGGGAAGGTAGAGAAAGTGGCTACGGGCCATAGAGCCTCTTATCGCCCAGTCTTGGTGTGGTCGAGCGCTGGGCAGGAATGAAGGATGGAGGGAGGAGTTGAGCGGGCGGCAAGCTGGCTTCAATGCATGTCGGTGGTCACTCTGTGTCATCCCTTTGACTCACGGTGATGAAGCACTGGGCCGCGCCGATCCGCAACTCTGCGTCGCCCCGCAGCACTTTCTGCAATGCCCATCGTGCCTTCTCACAACGCCCGTGACCTTCTCGTAAGTGTGGCGGGAGCAGCGATAGACATTGCAATTTGGCGTGATCAGCCTGAGGAGATTCGAGGCGGCCTCGTAGGCCAGAGCTTTACAGCTCCCGATCCATCAGATCTGCTGCTGCCACGGCTCTCTGATCACCCCCTCCATCCGCCTTCTTGCTCCCTCGCGGCAACCATCACTTTCAGACCACCTGGTGGCCAACTCATCACTGCTATTGTTGCAACTAAGTGAACCAACCTCAGACGGGGGGAAGCTGGTGGGGAGGATAGTATACAAATGTTTCAGTTTTAACTAAATACGCACTCAAGGGAAGCATGGTCTTACAAAACGCTTCAAGTTTTATTTTAGGCTTAGAATCTACCAGGCGTCAAAGAAATTACAATACAATTGCAGCAACTCCGATGGATTTTAAAGCAGCTTCTTCTAACTTTTTCCATCCTTGTTCTTTTCTTTTTTTTTAAAAAAAAAGGGAATTCCCTAAACACCACTCCAGATTCTGGCCGTCCGTCATCAGCAGCGCCTTTACTTCACTTTAATGCCACCGCCAATTTCAAAATAAATTTCGCTTGCCGTCTAACGCAATATATATTTTCCTTTTATTATTTCTATTTAGTGTTTTGTTAAAAATTGGCTTATACAGCATAGTACTACTTAACGGGCTCTCAGGTTCAAGCAGTTCGCGGATAAACGAGCTCTTCCAGCAGCTTTGATACGGGCTTTACTGTGCTCGGTAATTCAAATGTGCAATGTTTTCGCAGCTGACAATTTTCCAGAAGCTACCAGTATTAGGTGCTTCCATGTCTGAACATGACCATAATAACTCGCAGCGACGCAAACAGCAGTCCAAAGGTGGAAATTTCGAGCGAACTCTCTGGTACATGTGAGCTACGAGGTATGGCCCAGTGAAGCAGCAAGCAGTTTGGAGTTGAAACAAACAAAAACTCCAACATTCTCAAGCTGTGCTCTCTGAGAATCCAAAGCTTTCTTCTTTTCGCCCATGGTCCACTTCTAAGATCAGCATGCACTACATGAGATAAGGCTCAAAAGCAACGGATCCAGGTCAGATGGGCGGCGAGAACTCGTATAATCCAGCCGGCGGGATAGGACCAACCAGAAATGGCTTCTACGGCTCGCAACAAGCGCAAGCGGATTGGCAAGCGGGCATCTAAGGCCGCTTAACAGGGGTTTCAAGCGCAAGCGTGACCGCTTGATTGATTGGATTGAGGTCCCCCAGGACCCGGCTTGCGCTGGCCAATCCGATTAATCGTGAGCCTTGGCCTGACCCCTACCTTGGAAAAAATAAACGTATGTGGGTAGTTGAAGCCACCTTCGGGACGAGAATGAGGAATTACATAGACGTCCGGACGTAGCTTCAGCTACCCACGATGCGATCAAAAAAGAGGGGACTGCAGTGGTGAGATACCATGGTCACCGTGGACAATGGCTCCCGAATTGATGATGACTGCGCTTGCAGACAATGCGTCACCCAAGGACGGCTGTGGCATTACACGCGGGCGGTCTTGAGCGCGACCTTTCCCGCCGGGAGCATGCAGCTAACAAGCCTTTTCTTTCTTTGTTTGGTAGTGACGAATCACCGGTCGGTCTAGCTAGACGACTGTCTTACCACCACTTTTGCAGCACTCCAAACAAACCGGACGTTTCTAGTGGCGGGCCAGTATGCTGGTTGAGCCGACGGTTCCCTTGTTCCAAGCAGAAGTTTCTGGAGGTCACTGGAACCGCTGTAGATGGTTGCTAGAGCAAAACATTGGCTGGCGGCGTTTCGCAAACTTGACTTTTGAATCTCGTTTGTAGACTGCGATGGTCAGAAGGATAATCTTGCATATACAGTAGGTGGGTCGTGCTAAGCTGAGGAGAGGCGGCGTCTGCAAACGACGTGGTTGAATAGTCCAAGTTTGCTTGTTTAACAAATCAACGGCGGAAACAAACGGAGCTGAACAACTTATAAATTATCAGCCACCTTACGTTCAACAGGCCAGAACCCAACAGCGACATTCTCCAAAAGCCGTTAACGATTCCTACAAGACAACATAACTCAATGGAAACCGCACGCACGACTTTGAGGTAATAATAGCCGCTTGACGCTATTGGAGACCACGCTAACGCTTGAATCACCAGCTCGTCCGCCAGAGCCCACATACTCTCAGCCGTCGTCAAGATGTTCTTGGCCCGCATGAGGAGCCTCTCTGCCGATGTCAGCAGCGTCTCAGCGAGAATCGACGCCGTCAGCGAGAGAGCCACCGCCCTCTCCGCCGCCGCTCGCGAGGCCATTGCCGAAGGCGAGACGCGCTCAGCCGCTCTCGCCGCCGCCCGAGCGAGAGCCACCAGCTTCTCCGCCGTCCCCATTCCTCCTTCCGAAGTGGCCAGCATGGCCGCCGCCGCCGCCGAAATACCGGCGCTCACCGCCGCCCTCCGCAGCGCGACCGACAGGGTCACCCACCTCACCGCCGCCACCCAAGCGGCCAATGCCGAATTCGACGTGCTCAGCGCCGAAATGCAGACGCTGACGACCGCCGTCGGCGAGGCGCATGCCACGGCTACACGCCTCGCTGCTACCGTCCGCGCGGCCAGGGCCGAGTTGGGCATCGTCCCCGACTGGGTGCGCGAGCTCTTCCCCGGCTCCGCCGCCGACGACGACGAGGAGGGCCAAGCCATAATCGAAAGCCTCGCGGCTGAAACGTCGTCTTCTGGCACCACCGACGACGAAACGCGCCGCCGTGACGATGCTGCCGAGGTCGACGAGTTGGTCAGCGCCGCGAGCCTGGACGTGGCCCTTGAGGACTTGACGGACTTTGCACTGATTGTGGCCAGGCTCTTCTACCTCGAACAGAACTTTGACCGTGAGGAGTAAAAGACGGGTTGGGAAACAGGAAGGATGGCTTATCATGGACGGGACGGAGATTCTGAGAGTTGTCATGTTGCTCTTTTTCTTTTTTTTTCCCCTGGTCCTGTGTAAATAAGTGGGACGTTGAACGGGTTGCTCTTTTCTTCCCTTTCTTCTCTTTCTATCTCTTTTTTTTTACCCTGTTTAACTCAGGTGTTCTTGTCGAGGATCTCGATCCATAAATTGTTTTCTTTTCTTCTGTTACATTCTAGAAGGGAGTTTGCGGGTTGCTCGAGCTTTGCTCTGTTTGTGCCACTGTTCCAACTCTACGTAGATTTCCTTGTGTAAATATGGTATTCAATTCGCACGAAGCGCAGCATTCAGCAGTACACCTGCCTCAATAGATACTTCTGGAAGTCCCTGGGCCAAAGGAAGACCGGAGTTTTATGACGCTATGGTAGTTGTGAATCTCGCGGATAAGCTCTCAGTGGACTTTTGATTCATCAATTACGCGGCGGAGAGAAAGGCAATCTGACAGGTGCAGACCAGTACAGATAACGCTCCCGCACACGGACGTTCTGCAACGTCTTTTGTTGGATACCATCGGACGTACTACTGTTCTTAGTATCTGTTCCAAGCGAATAATAAAGCTTGCAGTGTTGCAACTGCACTCGCTGTTGCAGTTGAGGGCAATAGACGCATCTGCGCCTCACTGGTTGGTCCAGCGACCGAGGATCCATTGCTCTATGAGATATTCGGTCGTAGCGTTGTTCACAGAGACGAGTAACTATAACCAGGGCCGCGAATGCCCACGGAGAAATTCCTGTACAGTTCGCAGCATTGTTGGAAGGATGGACGATTGCTGCTGGCTGACGAGCCCGTGCAAATACGAGCGCAGAGCAGTTCAACTTGGCAAAAAGTCCCAAGAAGAAGGAGTCCTTTCGAAGCGTCAGTCGCCTGGTGATCTTCGTCTGCTTCCCACATCGTCTCGGATCGGCAGTCCCTTGATTGGCCCCGATGATACCAGAAACTCCCAAACACTGGGTAGGGTAACTACTGGTCCATGAAATGCCCACCTCAGGTCGAACTCTACAAGTCCTGATGCCTCCACGGTCTGATAGTAGAAGGCGAGGCTTCTTGCAAACCACCACGATGCAAATGTCCACCTGCTACTGCGACAAGCGGCCTCGTCTAGAGGCCCGAAGCCAGGTTCGGGAAGATGGATGGGAGATGGAAGCTTCCGGCGAGTAGCCGAAGCACCCCGCCACCAATGAGCTCGGCTGGAGCGCAGTTGTCAGAACCCAAACCTCGGAGGTCGCACAGTTCAATCGTAATCTGGACGCCCAGGAGCTCTGACATGACACGAGAGGTAAGCTGGAACCCTGGAAAAGGGCGCAGCACGAATCACACACGGAAAGCTAATCATCGACGCTGAAGCTCCCCCACTGAAAAGAGAGAGGAGATCAAGGAGCCTCGGGCTCGCCTCGACTAGGCCAGACGCAGCGTCTTGGTGGGGAAAAGGTATGAGGGATGTAAGAAGGTGCAGGTGGTGGCTTGTAGCAGCTGGCCAAGCGGTTCGCCAATGAATAGCGAGAAGGGTCTGTATTGTGGAAAAGAAAGGAGAATTTCTCAAACACGCGACGGAACCAATAACTGAATTGCAGACCGCCCTCGCAGAAGTTTGTTCAAGCCCTCTAGCAGTACGTTTGCGATCTACTTGGTAGGATGTGCGCCTTTTCGGACTAGAACGCTGGCTTCGGTGTTGATCGAGGCGGTGGAGGGTTTTGGCGACGTACGCTTCACACGTGTGCGTAGGGTAGCTCGACGGCGGCCCTTTGGTTATACGCTGGACTTGCAGCTGCTGCTGCCTCTGGATTGCGAGCCGTAGCCATGCTAAGACCTCGAACGTGACTTCTGGCAGCTGTCCTCGCGACGGGCTCGGCTGTGATCAGTGGTGCGATTAAAGTCTGTCGCGGTACCATGGCGGGAGCTAGCTACATTTACCTGACCAGGGACAGCGAGGCGGTAAAAGTCGCATCCGGGCATTCCAGGCACATGTATGAAGCATTTAGGAGGGGTTGGTGCAAGAGCGGAGCGTAAAAGAAGCCAGGTGAGGCGGCTTTTTGGCGGCCTTTGGCGCGGGAGCCCCCTCATCACTGCGGGGAAAACGGTGGAAGACTTGGTCCGTGAGATGGATAAGAGATGGAAGTTCCGCAGCGCAGAGCTTTAGCCGCCTCTAACTTCCGCTGAATGTGTTATTAAGCATGCAAGATGTAGCCATTCAGCGTTAGATGTGGACTGTATGGCCGAGGCCAGGCTATCCTTGGTAAAACTTCACGCTTCAGAATTATTACAGACAGTTCTCTCCAGTCTGCCACCAACACTCTTACTCCTACCTTGGACTAGGCAAATAGACGCTTAGGTCTTCCTTCTTCCCAATCCCTCGCCCTACTATCCTAGTAGGCGGGTACGAGACACATGCCGGCAAGACTGTAGAGTTTTGGGGGGGGGTTGGCCTGTATGTATGCGAAAGATATGCAGAACGTCACCGTACGGTCAAGAGCGAGGTCTGACAGTAGTGATGAAACATGCAGCCCAGAGCGGGAAGGGGTTGCCATGGCGAGAAAATGTTTGAGGGCGGAAGACTATCTCAAAGGGAACAATACTTTTAATAATTGCCGCGTATTCTCGAGTCTACTTCAATAAATATTGAGCGAGGTCAAGTGTGCCAGATATTTGGGAGTATTGCCCCGGATGCAGGGTGCTTTCAGATGGGAAACGGCGAGCGGTGTTACTCTTTCACAAAATATTTGACTGGATTTGGAACCTACCACATCGTCCCAAATACAACAAGAGACTATATTCATTTCTCTCTTTCTCGGTCAATCCTGAGTACAGCGACGTCCTTCTGGATGTCCTCACACTCATTGCCGGCAAAGACTATGGATCAACCAAGAGCTGGCAATGGATCATGAGTCATCCTTGTTTACATACGGATATTATTACTTATATCGAGTGTTTCTGGGAAAGGTACTTACTTTTTATTGGGAGATTCCGTGAGACACTATCAACTCTAGCAATTTAGACTTTAACATCAACGAGACTTGCATTTTGTGGATTCTCAGGTAGTCAAACTCTTGAGCCTTGCGTCGTAGAGGGACCTTAATGGTTCTATTTTTCGCGCCTTAATCCCAAGACCCGAGAAACATAGTACAAGACCTGCGGAATACTTAGACTTCTCTCTCCCGTTTTTGCCATTTAACATCACTTCAAGCGTCTGTAGGATATATCTCCTGCTACCAGTTCGCCTCATCCCCGGCTGCGGTCGATAGCAGCATCTCCTTCCAGTTCTCCCAGACAGTTACTTGCTCTATCTCACCCCAATGGAGGAGCCAGTCTGAAGAAGGTCTACGAGCATCAACGCTCTGGTCCAACATTCTCTATCGCCATGGGCTAGGGTAAGGACGGCATCTTGCATGTGGTACCAGAACTCTATTCGCTTATTCTCTGCCTTATGTTGAGTGCCGAGGACCTTTGTCGCCAGCGCAAACCGCTGCATTGCAAGACTCCATGTTGGCGGCTCGTTGGAATAGAGCATTGTTTGAACTCTACCAAATAGGGTGCGGGAGAGCTTAAAAGCTAGTGTAGAGTCAGCGGCGCTATAGGAAGCCGCGTAAATGAACCCATGCATGGTTGTGATTGTGTTTTCGCCCATCGGGCCCTCCTGGTTTTCCGCATAGTTGAGGAGAATCTGGTACCGCTGTATAAGTTGGGTAGGGCTAAGGCCGTTACAATCCCAGTACTTGATGTGGTTAAGCATGAGTTTCGCCGAGATACATCTCCATGGAGACGATGGCTCGCCTGTAACCAACCAGCAGGGTGTTGAGGAGATGTTCCTCCCAGACCTGGACCAGTGCGCCGAGCAGTCGGGAAACTGGGTGAGACTCCTGATAGAATATGTGGACGAGGCCACAAAAGTAATTCCAAAAACCGGAAAGAATTCTGAGGTCGCCGAAGAACTGGTGTGGCTTGTGGAGGTACCAAGCCATCCTCCAAAATTTTATCAGCAACCCCGGAGTATTTGAGCGGATGGCTCCTTGGAGCTCCTCACAGACATGGTCGCTAGTCTTTCTACCTTCCGAAATACTTCCACGAACGAAAAGGGTTGACGCGCCAAAGCATTGATCAGAGATATCCTGCCAGTGGTCAAGTGTCCCTGCCGGCGCAATAATCTTGAAGGTATCCCAAGACCAGCTGCTGCCACAGAACAACCCGGATGCGTAGTCATTAACAGAAGTAATAACGGCTTCAAGGTTTCGAAAACAATTAGGGATTTGAGGAGGTGGTCTGCTCACACGCCTTGGGCGAGTCCTCCTTGCCTTGTGGCATGGTAATGCTTGCGATTCTCTTTCTCTTTTCCTGTTCTTGTCAAAATATGAGCCTCTTTTCTTGAAACGTGAATTTTACATCTTACTAGCGGGTTTGTCAGTATGATGATTCATGAATTGGTCGATCTCCTACTTACGATGCCTCGAAGTGATACTCCATCTTCATCTTGTCCATTAAATATTTCAATATTTTGCCTTCTTGTATGTAAATGCGACGAACATTTTCTTTCACGTCTACCTATCGCTTTGGTGAGGGACCCTGGCGGACCACAATTGTGTTTGAACAATTCATATTAGACTTCGTAGGGTGCAGATCCGAACGAAATATACAAGACGGGTGATGAATTCGTTTATGTCGGGAGGCTTAATCAAGCTTAGACGCTAGAATTAAGGGAAATGGCCACTGTATCTTATATTTGCATGTCGTCAAGCCTGGAAAGCAGCCCTGTAAGATGTTTCCTCGCATCGAGCGCTCGGCGGGAGTTACCGCAGATGATGTTAGCTTACACCTCTGCGGTCACTCGATACGTCAAATGGTGGGGATCCATTTCTCCTCCTTGCGCATGATAGGCTAGCATAAACACCTCACTGTTGCCTGATCGTCGTTATGCGAGGAACTTGAGAGCTTTAGCTAAATCT